AAATTTTCTACCAATATAAATATGTATTAATGTTATGTTACTTACTCAATACCCTTATTTTCTAGTGGTACAACTGTACTGGTATATAAATCGTATTCTGGCAGTGGTTTCTCTGCTATCATACAGTCTCCATCAGTATCATAATATTGCTGTTCAATATTTGTATCTGATTTATCATCATTCTCATCAATTTGAATTTTTTGATTCAACAGCTCTGTTTGCAATGCATGCACCGACTCTGAGCGTTCAGCTTGACGAATAAATTCAATTAAATCATATGGCTTGCGTAGATTGAACACTGAATCCAACTGAAAAAAAAAAATTTTTTTAACATGATCAGTACAATCAAAAATTGCAAAAATGAGGAGAGTGGCAAAATCATCCTCAGTGTAACAAGCAGGTAATGACTTGTACTATAATGTTCGTCTATGGGATTAAACATTGAGAATCATATGGGACACCATTATTCACGCTGATTACATTATTAAAGAGTGGTAGTTTTTGCGCAGCATGTATTCCTACTTTGTGTAAACCACCATCCTTTAATGTCTTTTTTTTTATTGCATTTTTAATCTATTAACTTGATGGTTAGGCTTATAATATACAGGGATTCACCTTGGCAATTTTCAATTACTAATTATATCCATCCTAGTATCCATCCGTAAGTGGCATACTTATGTGATAATATTAGAGATATAGTATCGCTTGTTTATTCATGGTCTTATTTCAGCTGACATGCATACTGGAAAACCATTTATTTTCAGTGGCATTTCATTTCACTATTTTGACTTTTTTAGCATATTTACTGGTTCATGAATTTGCTGGGGGAAACAATGAGTTACAAATGTATATCGTTATTTTGCATGTTCACAAAGATTTAATTTAGTAAAAATTATGTATAAGCAAAAATAACAAAATTAAAACCCAGTAAATATCCAAGCATTTACAGTTGTATGATGAAAATTGTTAGTTCTGAAGCAACAATAGCAAAAATAAATTATCTATTCAAATACAAATATTCATATAGTTGTATATTTTCATACTAAGGGAGAAAAATCCATGCTGGCTTAGCCAAACAACAAGCTGACCATGACCTTAAGTTTTTTGGTACAATAAGGGTCATCCGTCTTGGAATTGTAAACAATGTCGGACAAAGCTTTCAAGTGTTATGACACACATGTAACTTGACTATTAAAATTATTTGACATACATATGGGTTGCTAAAAATTTAATGAGTTATTTTATTTACTGGCCCATGTAATAAATGTAAGAAATTCATTGGAGTATGAATACAAATACAATGGAAGCCACACAAAACATACACCAGCCTTAAGTATGTTTGTTTATGTGTTATTTCCTCAACCTTCTGTTAAACTGTTGTGGACGTGACATGCACCTGAGGCTGGAGTTTTTGAGGATTTTCAATCTCCATGAATAGAAGTGAACATGTAGTTTACATTATCCTTGTTATTTATATCAGATTGCGACTGTTTTGAATATCACTATTACTTTGTATATTTATTGGTAATATAAATGACCAATAACCAGTAAATTGTCATGCTATACATCTATATTTAGTGTTTTTGCAATTGCTTATATTTATAAATAATGTCAATGTAATGTGTTGAAGACAATAAAGTAAATATTACCCATTTTATAAAAGAGAGAGCACAGCCAATGGGATAATTTAATGTATAGTAACTGTTTCCATAGAAATGACATGTACTGGTACATGACATGAATACCTTACCCCAGTAACTACAATTCAAACTTTTTCAACAGTTTTTTTTAGTATTATATTCATTTGTCATAAAGAATTTTAGAAGTAATTATGTATTCATACAAAATCATCTATCATGAATGATGTTGAATAAATAAGCTAGGTTTCCCATTAGAAAATGATAGAGAAAATGATATGGTTGTGTCAATTTACTATGATGCATTATTTAGTATCTGTATCTCAACATATCTTGCAGTGATGGTACATGTTTCCTTTTTTGTAACATTTTCATTTTTCAGTGTTTTATTGAAGAAATATTAATTAAATCATACAGAAATAACACCAGAACATTGAATGAAACACATACAACTCAAAAGTCAGTTTATCATTATTTCACATTAGTTACTGGTGATTTGTGACAACCAGAAATCCAATTTATATCTTTTCTGGTGTTGGGCATAAGAAACAATGAAAGGGGCTAATTTTGTTTTTCTTTCCCCCCTCATGATGTAATTTTTTGTACACTATTTGGAATATTTTTTTCCAAGATTTAGCATTTTTTTCTGTTATTGGTCCGTGCAAGATTTTTCTTGTGTAATTATTTTTTTCCCAATTTGGCCACCATCCTCTTAGAGTTTTTAATGGTCAACCCCTTAGGAGTATTTTTTTTTCTCACTTTATATTATTTTTTAGTTTTTAATTTTATATAACTCCCTACGGTGGATGTTATGTATTAATACAATTATCATTACTCAAATCACAGCCCCTCAACAACAAGGGACTGTGTTCAAATGCATGGTCATATATGAACCAGAACAGTATTTACACAACAACTTGTTGACAGGTCTCAATCGCACGGTTACCGAATCAATACATTAAAATCCAAACAACGAGAAAGTTCAGTTACGGTTAACGACAGCGATTGAATGGGTCATTAATTTAAAAATTTTATAGAAAATTGTGATAACATAAACAGACCGGACACGACAGTTTGACCTTTGTTTACAAATGCGATACCAAGATTTCTTTTCAACTTTTGCTGTAAATATCTGTACCAGCTATTTAAGACTTGACCAGTTTTCTATGAAATGCTGAATTAATATTAAATTAACACGGTTGATGCAAAATGACATGAAACCTCGGGAAAATTAAAGCAAATTACGACGGAAGACAACAAGGTTACTGGAGTGGAACTCGAGTCGGTAAGGACACGTCAGTTTTTACCGTAAGTTCAGAACGATTTCGCCTCATTCCGAAGAAAAGCATGCAACAATCGTTCCAGAAATACGCCAATACTCACATGTTGTGTTACCATACCATCTTCGGTTACAACCCAATGAGTACTTGATAGCGAAGGGGGTAAAATTGAGGCCTGAACGACCAAGACCAGCATGACACTAGCCACCAAGTCGGCCATCTTGGCTTCAATGGCTTTATAAATAATTAATTATACGATAGTTTTTAATCCATTTAATAGGCGCATTAAATATACGGGTCAAAGCATACAATAATTAACATTTCTAGCAAAATAACATAATTTGCATGCATCGTGAATATTCTTTTTGTGTACAAATTGGAGAAAACGTTACTTTTTGGCCTTACGTTACATTCCTCTAGAGGGCGGGCTATTTCGTAAATAGTTTCTTAAAAGATGGCAGCCGTTGTGAAGTAAACTGTCGATCTGTTATCGTGTCAACACCCTTTCTCCAAGTTCAAAATAGTGTAATCTCAAATAACCTTAAGGCCATTCTCGTAAGTATATCACAGCTTTGGAAACATCACTGCTTTATACACCATAGCACATGTGATACCAAATACAATGATTCTTGGTTGTTTTTCGGGGGGTGGGGGTCGCTACAGTACAAAAACCATATGCATATGCCGTTGCTGTGAACATCAATTCCAGTTATATTGAGTGATCGTAATATTTTTCATTGAATCAGGATCAATTGTTATACTGCTCTGATTCTAGTCTAGATTGATTCAGTTTGTTGCATTCATTGATTATTATCAAAGGTAGTATGAAATGAATATTTCAGTGCTACACTTAGTATTTAGCGAAAAACTTATATGTAGAATCAATGATTTTAGATTGGGGTTTGCAAGAGTGTGTTATGCGATGAAGATCTCACATGAATTGAATGAGTCATGTGAGTTGCAATGTCATCTAAGTTGTTTTGTACCTTTCCAATGCTGTTATGTTATCAACAAATACAACCCACATTTTTTGTTAAAAAATAACAAAAGGGGGTATATGGGCTTATGTGATAGTAGCAGTTGAGTCAAAGCATAAATACAAGGCAGAATTTCATATGTTGAAAAAAACAGCCAGCGATGAAGCTGCTTGGTCTGATCAAGCACATAATCTTGTAGTTTAGCATTGACTCGAGAGTAGGGCTCTATACGAAAGTCCAACATTTCCAACTATTTCATAATGGCCAAGTGTATTTTAAATATTACTATTCCAATATAATATTATTGATTTTGGTGTTTAGTTTTGTATATTACTCAGTAGATACTATATACAAATTATCTTTGGTAGTGTATATGTTTAAACAGAACTAGGAGTCATCACCTGTGCAGGCGCGGCCATAGCATTTTGCTTTTGCGCGTTGTTACTGTTGCTTGGGACTCAATTCCCGCATGACCTCTCCTCTTATAGTATTACCATACACAACAGTAAATGACAACGTTAAGTGAGTATATATGTGTGATCCAACAATCCAATCTTTTTGTTTACACATGAATTGTGTATATTCCAAAATATATATTCTAAAGTGCACCTTTCTCCTGAATGCTTTTTAACTGGTATCAAAATAAAAGAACTGGGACAAAACGTTGTTGACAAGAAACAGCATTTAGGGCAAAATAACTTTAACTGGGATGAATTGACATTGAAATTAATAATCACTCCAAACCCACAGAACAACAGGAAATTGACAGCAAGATAGTGGACCAGCAAGCTTAAGTACTAGAGATCACAATTTTGAATGTGTTTGTATGAATCCACATTAAAATAAATAAGATTTCATCTTGCAGACTCCGCTGTTGGTGCATTATTTTTGTAAAAACAATTGAAATATTGTGAATTGAAAAATCAGTTTGCTGTCAATATTCATAATGATTGCATGTTTTAACAATGTGCAATGTGACCAACACTGGCACTGTTATTTCCAGGTTTTGTTTGTGCTATGCCTGACGTTGATATCTTTTGAACCTGGGCTTTGGTATTGATTTATTGAATACCAAAAAATATTTGCTGCAGCTAAAACTATAGGAAATCACTTATATCAGAGTTGCTGATATGATCTAAACTGTATATAGTATATGGATAAAAAATAAGCTTACAATCATCAGATTATGATTACTGAAATCCGTCTACTTTGCATGCTTCATTCAGGTTGCCAAAGTGAATTTATGTGATCAACAGCTGATGTTTTGAGCAGAGAATATTGATTCACTCGTACAGCATGCTGCACATCAAGTGATCCTTGTAAAGGGATTTATTGACTTTTTCTTATTTTGTTTTTCTAAAATAAATAAAAAAAAGGTAAAATGTGGATTGGAGAACTGATCCTGAAAATATTTGTTTTAGTTACTATCACAACAAATCATCACTTTTATTTGTTGCTAGTGTCATGAGTTCATCAGAAATGGGAATTCATTCAAAATATCCTGACTGAAAATGTATTGGTGATAAAAACAATCTGTAGCTACAACATTGGGTATTATAAAGCTGTTGGATATCAATCTACTAGTTTATAGTTGAATTTTGTTTAATTAAAAGTCTCCAACAAAATTTTGTTC